TAAACTGTGTCATCACAAATGAACTAAGTTAATATCAGTAGAGTATCAATCGCTTGTATGACTTGAAGCGTATGAGGCATTATCGATAATATTCGAGCATTCTGGTAAAGACATTTATTGTCGATACTACTCATGTACGTCTCGTGGCCGGGTGGTCAATACTCGACAGAGCTTTCGTTTCGTGCAAGGCATTGTGTGAAACGCTTGAAATACGGTCGCAGAATTGGTCCAGATATGCCAAAAAAAATAGAATCATGAGCGTTTCCGATACTACCAGGGCAAACAACAACAAGAGACCCGCTTTATCTACAACTAGATGGGAACCAGGACGACCGCTACATCCCTTGACATATTCCGAAACTGGTGATCAGAAGGGAAACCTTTATTGTCGTTTACAGCTTTATGTGAGATAGCAGCACAATTTCCATGCGGTATATTGTTGCTTCAGCGACTTTCCACTGTGAAATTCATAGTATAGCGAATAGAGCAGAATGTATACTTTCTTGTAGAATATTGGGTATAATGTATTGTAACTTCCCAGTGACAATGTATCTTACCAGTGACAATGTATGTGCAAATCATCGGCAAACCTTAAACTTTGTTGTTAAAACTACTGAAATTGGTACCCTTCAAAGTGAAAACATTATGATGGCCTTCGGGAATACAAAAACATGTGTGTTCCCAATGTCTGAAAATATACAACAATATGTTAGAGGACCGAGTATCTTGCAGTATGGACATCTATCTTACGAAATGCAAGGGACGGTCTTCACATGATCAAAATCACAGTATTGTCGTGCTCAAACTGCGTTTCCTCCCATGATATAGCAATCAGAAGGCTGCAAATGGAATTGATTGCACTACTTGTCCTGTCTCACACATACGCAATACGTTTTATATCAGAAGTATGAGAGGAATAACTATATGTGGCCTTTGCACACTCCGCGAGAATTTGCACGGTCATGCCTACATCAAATCAAAAGCAGATCCTCAGTATTGCGGTTCGCCTTTATTATTTTTCTCAGTATTACGATTCCATAAAACAATGAATTTTACAAGGAATATCTAGCGGCAGCCTTTGGAAGGCAATAGGATAATCGCTGTCCTGCGTATTTCCGATACTAATTTCATATTATATACTCGCGGATTCTTTTGTGCGCTTATATATATTGCTCAAATAAATAACAACTCACATCTGTTTCATTTACGTACCTTTTTTCAGTTGATTATGTGAAGCAAACAAGTAGCCTCTTTGGCCCTCAGCTTGTGCACAACATGTATAGTTCCAATTGATACACAAAAGTATTTATTCACTGAATTGTCGATGACATAGTTAGACGTAGAATGTGTGATTAGACATGCACTGACTACTAGACCCAATTGAAATCATGTCCACAGCGGCAGCGCACGTGGTTGCAACCTCCGTCCTTTTCGATGTGGATTTTACAGCAAGGACATGCCTTGGTGTGAGTTATCAAGTAGTTCTCATTGGCTTGTACTTCTCGCCGTTGTTGAGCCTTACGCGCCTGTGCAGCGTAATACGTCTCTACCTTGCTATCGCAATCCCGCTGTTGAACAAAATATAGCAACAAATGCTTTTCGTTGACAACTCTCTACAAACTGGTCAAACCTATTCCGAAGTGAGGCCAAAATTTATAGTAATTATGCCGAGATGTGTGCATGGCGATTTAAGTTAAAGTTGATTGGCATGCTTACCCTTTTAGCCAGCAGTCTCTGGATTTTCAGTTGAATCGGCAACTGTCCTTGAACGCATCGCGTTATGTCGTCCAGCGTCCATATATTTTGATCTACTGGACACTTGACCTCCCATCGACCCTTTAGAAACTCAGCTTCGATATGTCTGGTCATGCACGTGGTGCATACCTTTGGCTGGCGGCGGCATGGGCAACTAACCTAAACATTGATGAGAGCACAGGGATGTATTCGATAGAATGTTATTTCTTCCCAGAAGCATCAAAGCATAACATGCACAGTCGAGCGGGTATATTCAATAATTACACAAATGTAACCCCACCTTGGGAAAGGCAGAGAGTTTTAAGGTATCGAAGCAGATATGGCACTTGTGTGTCGAGCTTGAGGTCGATGTTGATGTCAAGTGCGACAACAGAAACATTGTGCACTGATTGCTAGCGAGTATGGATGTCACAATGATGTAGTAGACGCGTATTTGTATCCATGCCGATGCGAGAAAGTGCGCATGACGTAGAACAATCCAGGTCAGCTTCGCTCTGCTTTCGGGAGCTGCATGGTACCAATGCCAATAAATATTTAAACTTTTAGAACGATACTGACATGACAGGTCAGTCTCGAAGAATAAAAGATCACACGAATCATTTAGTATGATATTTATACTGATATAAATGCAAAAGCTCAGCCTTAAATATGCTTCTGGATACGTTCAAGTAGTATATCCGAGGTGCTTCTATAGGATACATGTCATGTTATATCATGAGAGCTGTGATACAGCCATGATTCAGAATGATGCCACTTCCCGTCTTTGGCAATTTTTATATTCGGTGGGCCATTTGCCACAGCCATGACCATCAAGTATGAGCCAGGTGCCAGCGCCAGGGACAAGCTAATGAGGAAGTCGCAAAGGATTTTTTTATATCTAAACAAAAATAAGACAGAGCAGTATTGGTCACGATCGCCCGCCAAATCTGGTTGTATATGGTAATTTGACTAATTTCGGCCCGGTCAGTCATGACCACACCCCCAGACTCAGAGCTAAACTAAATCAATAAATCAATATTATTTATTTACACACCTCCATGTTTTAAAGTGCTCTCTTTCAATATTTATTAAATATTTACGTATTTAAAATGTATATCTAGCTTTTTGCCGTAGCGAATAGCGACAACAAATGAAGAAGTATTGGATCAGAAGCAATTAGCATCAGACATACATACATCGATTCATTAAACCAGACCAGACAGTTGTCATTGTGTCAAATTCATATCCTCACTGCTGACTAACTAGATATCAAGCGGGAGCATCTATTATCATTGATTTTTAAGCTTGTCCTTGGTACCGTAAAGTTACATATATATTGTGCATCATGTATGCGATGGCTTTGAAGCAGCCGAGAGGCTACTATGGCAAGTTCTCTTTTTCTACGGCTATGCGTCGGTACATATCTCAAACTACTACCCTTCCGTCGAGCGGAAGTGTCAGCAGCGAGCACGCGAGGTTCCAAAGCTCGTTTAATAAGTCGCGATACATCACGGGTAAGCTATTCAACTGGCATGCTTGTATAGATTGAATATACATACGCGATACTCGGGTCTGTCATTACACTCCGAAGTCTTATGAGCGCACGATGAAGATGCAATCGAACAGACAAAGCGCACACTCATAGAGTATCGTCCGGGACGGTCGACAATGCCTCCGTCCAGTTATATGGGGAATCAGTAGCACATCGCTAAGGCACACAATAATCTTGATAAGTTGCACGTGCCAATGTGCCCATACATACGAATACATCATCCGGACCTATACCATGTACTGTTCAAATAGTTCACGCAGTGCGTGTACCTAGTAATCTGTGCGCATTGATGTACGTGATGGTTATCAATACTGATGCCTTATATAATCATCAGTATGTCAGTTCAGGTCCAAGCATATAGCTAAAATTGATTTGCATATATACATGGACCCATATATATATATATATTTACATATATATTGTGCAAATACATATATACATCATATATATATAC